TAAAAGTGGGTTTTAAGCCGGGGCCAGCTCTCTGTATATTTGCGCTTCTGGTCTGTTTTCGGCTGTTGTCGCGTGTCCGTGCACGTGCGTGTGGGGAGGCGCGCTGAGGCCGCCGTCTTATGTCGAAAAGTTGCAGCGAATTCAGCTGAGAGGTGGATGTTGTAGGGGGCTAGTGGTAGCAATAAACTGACGTGCCTGGCAGGAGATGGTGGCGCAACGGTTAAGCGCGATGAAGTGTGGGCGATGTTGCGGCTAAGATGGTGGGTTGCCAGTTCGGGAGTAAAAACTTCGGAGAAAATCAGGCATTTTTTCTTCAGCGAGATGCGTCCTCGCTGTTGCTGCTGATGCTGCTGCTGCTTTTTCTGGATAGTTATTGACTTTGGCCGTCCCATGTGTGTACCGGGGATTGCTCTGTGTCATTGTGGTCTGTTCATTGTTTCTAAGCGGCGAATCCGAAAAACCCCTCGGGGGTTGTGGGAGTTGTCCCCAAGCACACATTGGGGAGGCGCATTTACTGTTGGAAATTTGCACTGTAATTCATTTGTGAACATGCGGATGATAATAATAATAAAAGGGTGCCGGTGTATACTGGATGACCGCATACGGCAGATTAATTTTGGTAAGAGCGGCTGCTTGCTTCACATTTTCTGCTAAAAAGGGCAGCAGGATGGAAGGTCGGATGGATTTATACCTCCTTCCTGGGCAGGGAAGTTAGCAGCATGTTTCTTCTTACTTTCAGCTGTTCCTTCGCATTCTGCTCTTGGTTTTCTGCTTTGTGCACGCTGGGGCCCGCTGCGTTACAGTGTTGTGTTGTCGTTATTGCCTTGCTTGTTTCTGATTGCCTTGGGATTAGCGTATCTACGCTCTGTCGGCGGCGCTGCTCTCATTCCATGTTTTCGTTAAAGTTTTGAATCACTGTTGAAAAAGCCTCGATTTAAGGGAGGGAAAAGTATTTTGAAAAAAAAATTCTTGGGTGGTGCATCAAGTAGCAGTTGACTCATAAAGCTCTCTGTCGCTTTCAAGCACTGAGCGATTCGGGGTATCACACTTTTTTGCGTGCCGTTGTGAGCTAACAAAGTGACAAAAAAGCGTTTCCTTTCATGAGCTGCTTTGGAGGCGACTGAGTCTCTGGCACCGAGCGAGTCATGGCTCCACTGAATGAGCGTTTCCCCCGTTTTTTCGGGGACTGAATTGGAGCCGGTAAACAGATGTAAAAAACTTGTGGTTGCGCTGCTCTTGCTGCTTGTACACTGGGCAGAAGTGGCGGTGCAGTGGAATCTGAAATGCATCTCTCGGTGACTGTTGCCTGCTTCTCGAAGCAGTCTTTGAAAGTGGCTTCTGGACATCTCACTGGCGGCACAGTTGTTTCTCATTTTTAAATCACTTTTGTTTGCCGTTTCATCTGTTTTTTTTTTCCGCTGACAACTGGTGGACATCATTTTCGGGAAGTGTTACCTGCGGCTAAGGGGCCAGCTTGGCAGGCGGTCCCCGGGGCGGTGACGCCCATACGTAATGCAGGTGGCGAACACCAACTGGAGACGTGCAGCGTATCGGGCAGCGAGCATGCTGTTCTGGCTCCAGTCGGGCAGCATACGGCACCTCCGCACTATGTGCACAGATGGTTTTAGTGCATTCACATGACTACTCCCCTCCAGCATCTGCTCGGAATGCTGCTGGCACGGCGGGCGACTGGAAGCTGCTGGAACATTTCAACGGATTTTAGGAGCAGCGTTGCCTGGGTTGCAGTGGCCCTGGATCGGAGTTGAGAGGGAAGAGGAGTGGCGGCATGGCCACATCAGCCTCTTTGGGTATAAAGCGCGATTGACGCTCAGGTTTGCGGTTGGATCTCGTCAACGAGGGGCACGAAGTGCGAGAACTGAAAGCTACTATTTGTCAGCCACATTCAATGTGCTGTGTTATCCTGGTGGTGCCTTTTTTGAGATGCGTGATAATAAGTGGTTGCAGTCACCGCTCGAGCGCTAGCTAACGGGGAGCAAGGAAAGGGGAAGTTGGGAAGGATGAGGTCCCACTGACCTATAAGTTTAATCTCGCTCAGTGC